CTGTCTTCAATTTGTTTTCTGATGAACTCCTTCATATTCTGGACAGGCTTTAACATTTTCACCCATCTAGTGTTTATAATTGGTATCTTTAGCATCCACTTCTTTACGAATCCATCGCTAAAGGATAGATCCTCAATGGAGCTGTCCAATTCTTGCTTGCATTTATAGAATTTCATTTCTTCTTCCTGTGATCCAAAGATTTAGAGTTTTGAATTATAAAAACTTGAGTAATATATACCTCGTCTATCGGAACCGAGAATAATATTCGATTAATGATGCCACCAACAAGACGATCAAACAAATGTAAAGGGTCCACTTCGGAATCAGGTGATAGTTGTTCGATTTCATCAAATCTTAAGAGCAGATTTCTTCAAGGTCTGATCTGTTCTTCTGCACGTTTAGTCAAAATGCAAGAAATGTCGTCTTTACTGAGTAATGTCATTATACAACGACTTTAAAAAAAACTATTTTATAGGAGATTTAACTCACAAATCAAAAAATTGTATCCAATGCTATGCTGAGATCTTATACGTTGAATCATTTACAAGAATGTATTTAAACTACCTCGCACGGATATCGTAGTACTAAACATAAAGCTTAAGCTGTTTCTAAGGTCACAAACCTATCGCCAAATACCTCAATTTTCCAAAATTATATGAATAGGACTAACCGCAAATTAAACTCGTCCATAATTCGTTCTTCCATAAGGTTCCGACTAACTCCAAGATTTCTTAGCACATGTAGTGAAAATCGTCGTTGCTCCTGCCAAATTTGACCATTTGATACAATAACACCGCGATCCCCTAAAATCTAGTCCTTTTCTCTAAAACGTAATGACTGATCATCAGAAAAAAAATAGTCAGAACTTTGCAGATATATGTTAGGTGGTGAACCTGGCTAGACTGGCACTAAAAGTTTCGCATCTTCCTGATCATGCAGTTTCTTAAATAGTCTGTAGCCTAGTAACACTAAAAACTATATTAGCAACCGTCTCGGACGGCGCTCTGCATTGCTCAAAATACTCCTGATGTTCTAATACAAACAAAAAATAACTGTAGAAGACTAATTACTTTTGCTTATCGCCAAGTTAACCAAGCAACTGTCTCCTCAAGCTACTTTTACTCA